GTTCATGTGGGCGAAGGGAGGGAGGTGGAGGGAAGGGAGCTTCTCAGGCAAAGCCCCGCAGGGACCCGGCATTTTTATGTCCTGCTGCTGCTTCCACGCTACATCAGCAGTCATGGGGCAGCTTCCTGCTGTGCCCAGCCCTGCACCCTCAGCCCTCCCCAGCCAAGCCTGTCTCCTGGATGGCGCCAGTTTCCGCCCAACCTGGTCTGCTGGCCAGTCTGCTTGCCTGTGAGAACGTGAGCCATAGGGGAAGGAAGTGCCCGGCCCCCTCCAGCTGGGCGTGATGGGAATCACAGAGCCCTTGGGTCTCTGGGGCTTTCTCGCTGCTGGGGCGGGCTGGGTGGCGCCTTTCCATCAGGCTGAGCAGTAAGCATCGGGACAACCTGCCTGCCTCTGCCACAGCCACCTGGCTGGGTGACTTGTAGGGGAGCTTGCTGGGGGTGGGTAGTGTCCCAGAGCCCTGACTCCCTCCTTCCTGTCCCCACCAGGTTTTTGGAGCTAGATGCAGGGACGTTTGCAAGTGCTGGCTATGCGGCCTTGGGCAAACTGGCTAGCCACTCTGAGCTGCATGCAGGTCCACTCTCTGGGACGGGGACTGACCACGCCTGCCTTGCAGGGGCCTGGGAGGATGACACGATGATGCTGTTGCTGCTAAGTAGGGGGTAAGAACGTGGGGTCAGGTCCGGCACTGCAGGGTACCAGGCTGTGCCCTGCCAACTGTCCACTGCCTGGCTGCCCCCAGCATCTGTTCTCACCTATTCCAGAAGGAACCCCAAGTTTCAGCTGGGCACACGGCTGCCGTTGACAGTCAGGGCTCCCTCTCCTGCTTCCCTGGGAGCAAGGTGGGACCCAGGGGTCAACCCTGCCCAGTGGGGCGAGGGCCCAAGAGGGAGGGCCCCTCGTGGGAAGAGCAGTGTCAGCCCGGGAGTCCTCAACCCTGCTGCCCACAGTGGAGCGAGACCTGATGCTCAGGCTGCCGTCTGCATCTCTGACTCCACCAGCATAGTCAAGGTCCCCCGCCACACCCCTAGTCTTCTCTGGGGTTCCCGTCCCCCAACACCTTCCCCCTCTCTGCTGGGTCTTTGTTCAGATGCCACTTTCTGGAGAAGTGAGGCTTGGCCGTCACGTTCACTTGCACACTCTCTGTTCCCTGTGCCTCATGTCCTCCACTGCACCTGTCCCCCCGCGCCCCAGGTATGTGTTTACTGTCTGTCCTTCAGTGTGTCCCCATGAGGGCAGGGCCTGGCCTCTGGACGGCAGGGTCCCCGAAGCCTGGGGCAGCGAGGGCATGTGCTGAGCGCAGGAGCTGACGCACCAGCCAGGCAGCTGGCTATGGAGAGAGAGGGCCAAAGGGCTGCCGACAGACAGACCTGGCAGGGTGCAGTGGCAGGCAGGCTGCCAGGGTCAGGAATTCCCCCAATCCCCTGTGAAATGACGGGGAGACCAGGAGGAGGTGGCCAGGCAGGCTGGGTGAGGGAGGGGTTCTTCCCTGTGGGGGGAACAGAATCTGCTAAGGCCTCCTCACTCTGAGGTCCCCCAGGCTTCCCCTCTGTCAGTGGGCTTCACAGGCTGGGACCCTAAACATTTTTGCATTTCCTTGGGATTAGTTGCTGAGGAGGAAAAGGAACCAGCACCGCCCAGTTAAGCTCTGTGACGTTAACAATCTGCTTCCCAGGCTCCTGGGCCCAAGGTGGCAGGGTCTCTGGGACACAATAGATGGAACCGCAGCAGCTGCTTCTCTGTGCAGCACTGCGGCCACCAGGGCCCCGGGGCCTCTCCTCACCTGCCCGACATCACACATGCGGGCTTTCCTTTCTCATGAGCTTAATGCTGCCTTTATTGACTGGGAAGGCTTCCTGGAACCTAGGATCGCCACGGATGATATCAAACACATGCCACACTCCCCACCCCCCGGCCTGTACCCCCCGGCCTGCTGTCCCTGGGTTCCCAGCAGCCCTAGCAGAGACTCCAGGGCTGCCAGGGGCCACAGCCAGAGGCCTGGGTGGGATTTGCAGAAGGAAATTACTCAGGATGCTTCAGCAGTTTGCAAATGGGAACAGACAGACTGGCCCACAGAGAGCCCAGGAAAGAGAGAAGGGAGTGGGTGGGCCGCAGGGGGAAGCTCTAGGAAGCCCCGGTGGGTGCTCAAAGCAGCAAGACAGTGGGCAGCACCTTCTTGGCTCCTTGTTCCTCTTCCACGCCATCCCCGATGACGACGTAGACAGCTTTGCGGCCGAACCTTTGCATGATGCGCTCGAAGCAGCTCTCTTTCCCTGCACAGACAAAGAGGAGGTGCATCACTGCCACACGAGTTCTGCTCCCTGGCGGCCACGTGTGGGTCTGCGGAGAGCTTCTGGAGGCCGAGCTTTCTTGGGTTTCGGGAGCTGTCAGTCTTTACAGGGGTCAACAGCCTCTTCCTTCTCATGACCAGCTGGGAGGCTCCAACCTCTGACCTTGAGGTTAGCAACCCATTACACCAGCAGGGCTCTTTTAGTCCTAAGACAAACCAGCTGAAAGCACACACCCTGCCATTGAGTTGATGCCGACTCTCAGTGACCCAATAGGTCACTGAGGCTCCTCTGGAAGGACTTGAACTGCCAGCCTTTCAGTTAGCAGCCGAGCATGTTACTGTTGACAGCACCGAGGGATGCCCCCCACAGGTGTGGCTAGGGTTTATGGCCCCGGCCCATGAATTTGGCCTCCCTCCCTCCCACCCTGTGCTGTGGGAAGCGTGGGCCCTGGACGGCTACTAGTCCATCGTGAGGAGTCAAACTAGTCCACCAACCTGCAATCGGGAAGCAGAAGCTTGCTGGTGTAAGCGACGGAGTGCTGGGAGCTTGTTACGCAGCACTGTCAGTGCAGAATCTGACTGCTTATAAGAGACACGATCTTTCAGTTACACTAGGGGACCAGCAGCCGAATTCTTGTCCTATCACAAGGCTGGCAACGGTTTGCACTCTGATCCTCAGGCTTCTTGTGGTTGACAGGTACCACCAAGTCGATTCCAGCTCAGTGACCCCCATGTGACAAAGAGAACTGCCCCCTTGAGCTTCCTGTTGCTCATCTTTACTTGGGTCCCTGAGATGGTCCACCAGCCTGGATCACTCCCCTCTGAGGGTCTGTGACATGGGAGAGAAATGACCTTTGGGTCTTATTTAAGCCTTTGTTTTCTGGGGTGTGCTTGTTACAGCAACTTCACACACAAGCTGACCAACACACTTTCGAAAACTATAGCCTGAATCAATTTCTTTAGAAGCAGAGGGGAAGGCAAGGGTGTTGTGAGGGCTTTGTGGGGACCTGAGTCTATGGATAAACTTCTTAAATTTCCTATACCCGGGGTGAGATGCTGAGCCCACACTCCCAGCCTGCGTCACTGTGAGATTGACCAGGCTTCTCCTTACCTGTCTTGGTGGCGCTGTAGATGTTCTCAATAGGAAACACGGACCCCAGTCCATACAGCAGGACCTTGGCCAGGGCAGGAATGAGTTGAGTGGTGGTGACCAGGACATTGACACAGTTGGGCCTGAGGACAGAGGAGACCGTGGATGAGGCCCAGCAGGGGTGGGAATGCTTGTGCTCTGGCTGCATCACCTCTGTCTGTTCCGCACAGGGTCAAGTGCACAGGAAAAGCTAGCTAACTGCCGCCAAGTCAAGGCTTGCTCATAGTGACCCCGCAGGGCAGGGCAGAGCTGCTTTCTTGGGTTTTGGGAGCTGTCAGTCTTTACAGGGGTCAACAGCCTCTTCCTTCTGATGACCAGCTGGGAGGCTCCAACCTCTGACCTTGAGGTTAGCAGCCCAACCCATTACACCATCAGGGCTCTTTTAGTCCTAAGACAAACCAGCCAAAAGCACACACCCTGCCATTGAGTTGATGCCGACTCTCAGTGACTCAATAGGAGAGGGCAGAATTGCCCCTGTGGGTTTCCAAGACTGCAGTTCTTGATGGAAAGAGAACCTCTTGTCTTTCTGTACAGATCAGCTGGTGGGATGACCTTGTGGTTAGCAGCCCTTTGGGTAAGCCACCCCCTACCGTGCTTGAGTTCTTTGTTGGTTGGAGGTAGGTGGGGATGAGGGAGTGGGTGGTGGGTGGAGAGGAGGGTGGACAGGTCCTCGGGTCAGTGCACCCTGCCGGCCAGCCTCAGGGGAAGGCAGGGCCCAGGGATCTTCCAATTGTTCTTCTCTATTAAGCCTGCAGCTGCCAGACACTGTTAAGATGTCAAACTTACTTAAAAAGCCGATGTCATTGCAGGGGCAG